TTTTTATGATTGTTTACTGTTGTACTGATAAATAACTCTTGGAGGGTAAACTATATCTTGGCTGCAAGTATCAAACTGTGAAATCCTTCATTTTCTACAACTGATAGTGGTCGGTCATTAATGATGAAGTTTATCAACTTCTCTGTAAAGATTAGAGCTCCGTGGTTTCAGCGACGTCTTCTTCTTGTTCAATCCGAAGCAGGCAGCCTGATTCGGGGCAGCCCCGCTCAGTCTGTCCCTCCTCAGAGACGGGCAGACTGAGCGGGGCAGATTGGACGCAGCTGGCCGGGGTAGAAGTTGCCTGTTGCGGGTTGAGCAAAGAGCAGCGCCCCGCTGAAGCCACGGAGCTCGAATGTCCATCGTAAAACTAACTTTACCACGGTTTAATGTGGCGCTATGGCTCTGCAGACATCATGCTGTCTTGTTTTGTGGTGTTTCTAGTGTAAAATACTTCCACACAGCGGACATGTTTCGATGAAAAGGTGACTAACCGTTAGCCACAGTGCTGCTACCAGTGATGGTACGCCATCAACACTTTTTATAGTGTGAGTGGTGTGCTGCTGACCTCAACTCAGGATGTCGTGGGTCGGTGGGTAGAATACTTTTGAAGACCTCCTCAATCCCACTGGCACGTCTTCCACTGAGGAAGCAGAGCCTGGGGACTTTGGGTTGGGATCTCCAATCTCTGGTGCTGAGGTCACTGGGGTGGTTAAAAAGCTCCACGGTGGCAGGGCCCCAGGGGTGGATGAGATTCGCCTGGAGTTCCTTAAGGCTCTGAATGTTGTGGGGTTGTGTTGGCTTACACGACTCCGCAATATTGCATGGACATCGGGGGCAGTTCCCCTGGATTGGCAGACTGGGGTGGTGGTCCCCCATTCAAAAAGGTGGACCGTAGATTGTGTTCCAACTACAGGGGGATCACGCTCTTAAACCTCCCTGGTAAGGTCTATTCGGAGGTTCTGGAGAGGAAGTTCCATCGGATAATTGAATCTCTGATTCAGGAGGAGCAGTGTGGTTTTCGTCCTGGTCGTGGAACACTGGACCAGCTCCACATCCTCAGCAGGGTCCTGGAGGGTGCGTGGGAGTTTGCCCAACCAGTCTACATGTGCTTTGTGGAGAAGGCGTTCGACCACGTCCCTCGGGGAGCCCTGTGGGGGGTACTCTGGGAGTATGGGGTACCAGGCCCTTTGATACGGGCTGTTAGGTCCCTGTACGACCGGTGTCAGAGCTTGGTCCACATAGCCGGCATTAAGTCGGGCTTGTTCCCGGTGAGAGTTGGACTCCGCCAAGGTTGCCCTTTGTCACCGATTCTGTTCATAACTTTTATGGACAGAATTTCTAGGCACAGCCAAAGTGTTGAGGGGATCCGTTTTGGTGGCCTTAGGATCGCTTCTCTGTTTTTTGCAGATGATGTGGTCCTATTGGCTTCATCAGGTTGTGATCTACAGCTTTCACTGGAGCGGTTTGCAGCCGAATGTAACGCGGCCGGGATGAGGAACAATTCCTCCAAATCCGAGGCCATGGTCTTGAGCCGGAAAAGGGCAGAGTGCCCTCTCTGGATCAGGGAGGAAGTCTTGCCCCAAGTGGAGGAGTTTAAGTATCTCGGGGTCTTGTTAACGAATGAGGGGAAAAATGGAGCATGAGATCGATAGGCGTATAGATGCAGCATCTGCAGTGAAGAGGGCGCTGTACAGGTCTGTCGTGGTGAAGAGAGAACTGAGTGAAAAGGCGAAGCTCTCAATTTACCGGTCGATCTACGTTCCGCCCTGTGATGGACTTGCGACCCGTCCAGTGTGTACCCCGCCCCTCGCACAATGATTGCTGGACATGGGCACCGGCGACCCCCGTGACCCAAAATGGAAGAAGCGGGTAAAAGATAATGGATGGATGAAAATAAGATTTTGAACACCCTGCAACTTTGCGAGTTCTACCACTTAGAAATCATGGAGGGGTCTGAAATTTTCATCTTAGGTCCATTTCTACCATGAGAGACATAATCTATTAAAAAAAAATCAGAAATAACAATATATGATTTTAAAAATATTTTATTTGTGTGTTACTCCTGAAAATAAGTATTTGAACATCTGTGATAATCAATGTTAATATTTGGTACAGTATCTTTGTTTGCAGTTACAGAGGTCAAAGGTTTCCTTTAGTTTTTCACCAGGTTCACTGCAGCAGAGATTTTGGTCCATTCCTCCACAGATCTTCTCTAGATCAGCAGGTTTCTGGGCTGAAAAACTCAAGAGTTTGAGCTCCCTCCAAAGATTTTCTATAGGGTTTAGGTCTGGAGACTGGCTACGCCACTCCAGAACCTTGATCTGCTTCTTACAGAGCTACTCCTTGGTTCTCCTGGCTGTGTGCTTCGGGTCATTGTCATGTTGGAAGATCCAGCCACGACCCATCTTCAATGATCTAACTGAGGGAAGAAGGTTGTTCCACAAAATCTCTCAATCCATGGCCCCGGTCATCCTCTCCTTAATACAGTATAGTCGTCCTGTCCCATGTGCAGAAAAACACCCCCAAAGCATGATGCTTCCACCCCCATGCTTCACAGTAGGGATGGTGTTTTTGGGATGTTACTCATCATTCTTCATCCTCCAAACACGACGAGTAGAATTAAGACCAGAAAGTTCTATTTTGGTCTCATCTGACCACAGAACTTTCTCCCATGACTCCTCTGGATCATCCAAAGGGTCATGGTCAAACTTCAGACGGGCCTGGACGTGTGCTGATTTAACCAGGGGAACCTTCCGTGCCGTGCATGATTTTAAACTATGACGTCTTAGTGTATTACTCATAGTAACCATGGAAACAGTGGTGCCAGCTCTTCAGGTCATGGACCAGCTCCTCCCATGTAGTTCTGGACTGATTCCTCAACTTTCTTAGGATCATTGATACGCCACGAGGTGAGATCTTGCATGGAGCCCCAGTCCGAGGGAGATAGACAGTCATGTTTAGCTTCTTCCATTTTCTAATAATTGCTCCAACAGTTGATTTTTTTTCACCAAGCTGCTTGGCAATTGCCCCGTAACCCTTTCCAGCCTTGTGGAGGTCTACAATTTTGTCTCTGGTGTCTTTGGACAGCTCTTTGGTCTTAGCCATGTTAGTAGTTGGAGTCTTACTGATTGTGTGGGGTGGACAGGTGTCTTTATGCAGCTACCAACCTCAAACAGGTGCTTCTAATTTAGAATAATAAGTGGAGGTGGACGTTATAGAGGAGGACTAACAAGTCTTTGAGGGCCAGAACTGTTGCTGATTGGCAGCTGTTCAAATACTTATTTGCAGTAGTAAAACACAAATAAATTATTTTTAAAAATCGTACATTGGGATTTCCAGATATTTATTTTTAGATTATGTCTCTCACAGTGGACATGCACCTAAGTTGAAAATTTCAGACCCCTCCATGATTTCTAAGTGGGAGAACTTGCAAAGTCGCAGGGTGTTCAAATACTTATTTTCCTCATTAAGTAGACAAAAGTCAAATAGACACAGAAAAAGCAGCATTTTACCACAGACTGGTGTCTTCAGATCTGTTCCCCCTAGTATCAAAGATTTCCAGTCATCTGGATGTGTTTTCTGCTGTCAGGGACTAAACAAGACCCGAAATAGACTGGGATCTTCTTTAGTTTTAGCATTTTATTTAAAACACTGTTGCTTGAAACAACAGCGAAGAATGAAGCAAAGCTGGCTGGATGAATCAGATCTCAGTAGGGGAACAATATGACACGACATCAGTCAGGAACAGAGTAAATCAACTGAACGTGGGCCCAGATTCTGGTCTGAATGTTTAGTTGGTTTTTATTCATAGAAAAATGTCGACAGACAACCTGTCTCACCTCATAGTTTATTTTGCAGCTTAAAAAAAGGCTGTAAGGGTTAAAGGCTGTTGCAGGCATGGACTTAGCGTTTCCTTCATGATAGTTTGAAACTGGAGGCCAGAGTCCCTGGCAGGACATAACTGTATTTTCTGCCGTACAAGTCACACCGCCCTATAAGTCGCATCAGTCCAAATGTCTAATAAAGTGGAAAAATCCATTTAATAAGTTGCTTCTCCATATTAGTTGCATCTATTACGCGTCACCGCTGACAACCCGTCAATGTGGGCCGATGTTGTGCCAAAAATTGACTGTGCCAAATGGCGGTCACGGGAGCATGCACGTGAGGACTTTAACAAGAATTTAACAAGATTAACACTTAAAAACAATTATTTGTTTGCTCGACTTTTTAGCAAAGGTGTGTCTCAGTTTAACTTTTACTCAATAAATGTACTTTGACGGTCAAATCAGCTGCATTTCACCTGGGTGGTGCAGTGAAATGAAGCTGATTTGACGGTTGCTCCATGGGAGCTGGACGAAGGTGGCAGGCTGTGGCAAGCTGACTGTGTCATTAATAGCCACTTTTACCCATTACATGACACAACGGCATGCCATACCACTCGACTGCCATCTAGTGGCTGAAAATGGTGGTGTTCAATATTTTCAATCAGATTGTATACAAACGTCATATCTCAGTCAACAATTGGTTTATAAATATGGGAAAAAACAAATAAGTCGCTTCGGCGTATCATTCGCAAGGCATGTAAATTATGCCAAAAACTGCGACTTATAGGCCGAAAAATACTGTAAATGACGTGCACAGTGTATACTAGTGGTGTGGAGAAAAGCTGTTGCTTTATCAGATGTAAAGGTCAATAAATTAAGAGATGATTTCATTTTTTAAATATCTGTTTAATAGAATTATTTAAATTAAATTGACATGTTCTTTGACGTTGATTCTGATGACTTTTCATAGCAACCATCAGCAAGAAACAACTCCCTGCCTTTCATCACTTTGGGCAAATTAAACCAAGTCATGAAGTCATGTTTACTACCTTTTAATGTGTGTGTTTGTGTGTGTGTGTTCCAGGAGTTGAACAGTTTAGGGAAACCCAAAGGCCCTCGGTCTGCTTTTAACATTTTTATGTCGGAGCACTTCCACGAGGCCAGAGGAGCCACCAACCCGGTGAGAGATCTGTAGAGACAGTTCTGAGTCTTGACAGATGAGTGCATGAGGCTCGTACTTGTAGGGGAAAACTGACTGTATAGTGTTATGTTTCAAACAAACGTCCTGATGCTGCTCAATAATCCAGGTAGATCTAACAACCTGCAACTTAAAAATTATTTGTGGAGTTGTATCATTTATCTTAAGCAACATAAGAACCACTTTGAAAAAGCCCTTTTTTTACTATTATGTAAAACAAACAAGAAATAAGACAAAAAGAGAAAATTAGAGCGTGTTTAACTACTGGTATTCACTCCCACCAAAGTCAGTGCATCATGGATACACCTTTTGTGGCAGTTACAGTATCAGGTCTGTTTCCACAAACTTTGCACCATTTGAACCATCTGAATTTTGAATTTCTGTCCATTTGGCAAAACTGTTTCAGCTCGTTCAGGTTAGATGGGCTTTAAACCATAAACAAAGTGTCTCAGCTGGATGTAGGTTTGCAACGATTAGTCCCTGTGGTGGACTTCCAAAAAATGTCACTGTGGATTTTTATAGTCAACGTGTCTTTTACAGAGATGACGATATTCATTTCTGTTTATTTCTATATCTATATCTATATAGAAGTCGTCTCAGGGCATTGAACAGAAACATTCATGTGTAAAATAATAATTTAACATTATTTATGTGAGGAGCAGCTTTGAGTTTAACTCCATCACTGAACTCTCATCTTGAACAAGCATGAAGGCGACAGTGGAAAGAAAAACTCCCTCATGAGGAAGAACCCTTTAGCAGAACCAGGATCAGGACAAGCAACATCTGCTTCGACCAGCTGGTTTGAGAGGAACAGATACACAATGGCAGGTCAAGAATCACATGTTTAGATACATATACACTGCCTGGCCCAAAAAAAAAGGTCTCACACTAATATTTCGTTGGACCACCTTAAGCTTTGATTACATCATGCATTCACTGTGGCACAGTTTCAATAAACTTCTTCAATGTCACAAGATCTGTTTCATCCAGTGTTGCATTAATTTTTCACCAAGATCTTTCATTGATGACTAGACACCAGGCGTGATGGTGCATCACTTCACCTGCCTCTCTTCTTACCCTGATGACTCTGGAACAGGGTCCATCTGGACTCGTCAGACCACATGACCTTCTTCCATTGCTCCAGAGTCCAATCTTTATGCTCCCTAGCAAATTGAAGCCTTTTTTTTCCAGTTAGCCTCACTGGTTAGTGGTTTTCTTAAGACTACGCATCTGTTCAGTCCCAATCCCTTGAGTTCTCTTCACATTGTACATGTGGAAATGTTCTTACTTTCTCTATTAAACACAGCCCTGAGCGCTACTGTTGTTTTTCTTCCATTTGATTTCACCAAATGTTTAAATGATCACTGATCACGATCATTCAGGATTTTTTCCGGCTACATTTCTTCCTGGAAGACGATGGGTCCCCACTATCCTTCCAGTTTTTAATAATGTGTTGGACAGTTCTTAACCCAGTTTTATTAGTTTCTTCAATCTCTTAGAAGTTTCCTCTGCTTGATGCCAATGATTTGACCCTTCTCAAACAGACGGACATCTTTTCCACGACCACGCCATGTGTCTTTAGACATGGTTGTTTAAGAAATGAGAAGCAACTCATTGCACCAGTTGGGGTTAAATAACTTGTTGCAGCTGAAACATAATAGTCCATGCAGTAATTATCCAACAGGAGGCTCGGACCTGTTTGATTAGTGAAATACTGGTGGTGACTTTCTTTTGAGCCAGGCTGTGTAATATCCAATGAAAAGTATTAAATTTTAACAATTCATTTAAGGAAATGAGGTCAATTTGTCCTCTAGTAGTCCAAGCGTATGGCACCATAACAAGCCCACCCTAACTATAGGATTTATTTATATATATTATATTGTAAATACTGTATATACATTAATAAACCGCACCAGTCATAATGAAACATACTGTGAATGTTTCTGTAACTGTAATGCATGACTGAAACGTCTGAGGGCAGTATCAGCTCTATTGTTTGCCAAGACTGCAGTCTTCTAACAAACAGAAGTGAGCAAAAGACCAACAGAGAACTAGAAGGAGATGAATAAGAATCAAAACAAATCCTATAGTTAGGATTGCGTTGTTATGCTGCTATAAGCTTAGACTACTGGAGAACCAACTGACCTCGTTTCCTTAAATAAATTCTTTAAATTGAATAGTTTTCATTTGAGACCATTTCTATCTTAACATGTGATTCTTGACCTGCCATTGTGTATCTGTTCTTACCAAACCTAGCTGGTTGAAGCAGATGGCCGCTTGTCCTGGTTCTGCTAAAGGTTTCTTCCTCATGAGGGAGTTTTTCTTTCCACTGTCGCCTTCATGCTTGTTCAAGAAGAGTTCTGTGATGGAGTTAAACTCAAAGCTGCTCCTCAGATAAATAATGTTCAATTATTATTTTATACATGAATGTTTTAGTGCCCTGAGACGACTTCTGTTGTGACTTGGCGATATATAAATAAACTGAATTGAATTGAACTGAATATGTTGTTGCTGATTTTTCAGGCAAAATTGAAGTGTCTGAGAGAGGATTGGAAGAACATGTTGGGTTACGATAAACAGGTTAGCCACACAATCATTACAGATTACTGATGCATTTTTAGTGGTTTATTCTGATTTTCTCTTAACTCCTGTTTTAGGTCTATGCTCAACTAGCGGAGGATGACAAGATCCGTTACAAGAACGAGATCAAGTCGTGGGAGGAACATATGATGGAGATTGGACGAGAAGATCTGATCCGTGAAAAGAAAAAAATTGGGGCTAAACTTCCAGAAGTCAAAAGACAAACGAAGAAGACCAAATCTAAAGCAGCAGAGAAGACCACCGCTGTAAAGACGTCGAAAGCACCCAGCAAGGCTGCACGAAGTAGCTCAGCAAAAACTGTCTCCACCAAGAAAACATAAGTTTATAACTGAAGCAAAATCATGGATGTTTCTGTGACATCTGAAGAGTTCTGATGATGCACAGTTATGTTTTCTCTTTTGTATTTCACTTTTTATTTACAAAGTTCCAAAGTTGTCTCCCATTTTTGCAGGACAAAACTCGTAATATCTAAACTGACTAGTAATAAACTTAATGTCTGTACAGTAACGATGATGACAAATAAAGCTTGACTTGTTTCTGACAAAATGTGAATTTATCTCTGCATTAAGAAATTAACTCAGGATGATCCTCGATCATTTGATTGGGTTTATTGTGACTGATGCAGAGCTTGACTTTTTTAGGGATTACAAACCTATGAAATAATCCGTCCGTCTGCTCAGCTATCAAGACTTTGAACTTGCACTGCTTGACTGCAAAGTTGAAGAGTGAAAACTGTTTGGATCATTTCAGTATGAATGTAAAAACTGACTCGTTCTGTATTTGTTGCTAATACAAGTAAATGCTGCAAAAGCACTGAAGCGTCCTCAATATTTTGATTTTTAGACGGCCACTGGTCCCGACATAACCCATGTGGGTTTTTTTACCTACAGTCAGGTCTAACATCAGGTCCATGTAGGTAAATGCTACTCAAACTAAACTAGTGTATACATTCTGTGGTGAAGATACTTTAGGTTTTACTATTGGGTAAGAGTTTTAGATTCAAAATTCTTTTGACTGCTCCCTCTTCAGGGCTCGTCACAGCAAGTCCTCCACCTCTGTCCTCTGCATCCGCTGTCCTCCAACTACCTCCATGTCCTCTCTAACTGCATCCATGTATCTCCTCTTTGTCTTTTTCCTGCAGCTGCATTTTTAACATCCTTCTACCAGTATACCCACTGTCCCTCCTCTGGACATGTCCAAACCACTGTCCCTCCTCTGGACATGTCCAAACCATCTCAGTGTGTCCTCTCTGTCTCCCAGTTGTTCAACCTGTGCTGTACCTCTGATGATCTCGTTCCTAATCTCCATCCTTGTCACTCCTAAGGAGAACCTCAACATCTTCATTTCTGACACTTCCAGTTCTGTCTCTTGTCTTTTTGTCCATGTCTCTGTCTCCAAACTATACAAGCTAGCTGGTCTTACTACGTTCTTGTAAATTTTTTATTTACTTTTTCTGCCACCCTTTTGTAACAAATCACACCGGAACCCTTTCTCCATCCTGCCTGGACTCACCTTTTCATCACCCTGTTTTCCTGGACGTTCGACCCTAAGTACTTGAAGTCCTGCATCTGTGTGACCTGTTGATGATCGACCTTTGTGTGATCCTTTTAGGCTCACTGTTCGACCAGCCTACCTCCCACTGTACATACATAAGGGTGGTGGATTAAAACGAGAAAAAAGTGCCTTTTCTGGAAAAATAAAAGTGCTCCGTTCCGACTGAAAGAAATTTGCTGAGGTTGAACTTTTAACTAAAGTAGCAAACAGCTTGCTAAAATCTTGGGCTTGTTAAAAGCCAAAAGTAGCAAAAGAACAGTAGCTAAAGATTTAAAAGGGATCAATGTTTTTTTTATTAATTTAGGAGACCTCAGTGTATCCCTATGGGGAGGCTTACTGTAAATCAAGTTTAAATTTATATAAGTTACAAAAAACAATAATCATAGCAACCATCCAATAAATGAGCTGAATGTTTTGATTGTTAATATAGTACAAAGTATGCAAAATGCAGATTGCAAAATGTACAAAAGAACAGGAAAGTGAAAATGCTGAATCAGCCTTCACTCAACTAGCGATAGTCAAATTACAAAATCAACTTCTGTAAATAAAATAAGGCATTGTGGGGCCTGTTTTTAATAATTTAATTTAGGTATAACAGATCCTGGCTTGCTTTGAAGAGTGCATGATTTATTTTTAAAATGTAGGATCTCGTCCTGGCTGCTCTTGAATATTTGTTTGGAGTTTAATTACTAAGTTTTGCAAAAGCTTTTATTCAATTCTTGTAAAATCAAGTTATTCATGTCTTAAGATGGCAGCCATGATGGAATCCCAACAAAGAAGAATCTGCTGAATAATATGATTCAGTGAATCTTAAGTTAGGCGACTCACTATTTGTCATGGTGACTCCCGCCTTTCTTGTGGAGCAGAGGGAGGAGCACACATTACCCTGCAGCAGACAGAAACTAGTTTTAGCCTCAAACCTGTGTGAAAATGATAAGTTCAGTCCAAAGTAAACTTTTGAACAGGAAGTCGCGATTTGACTCCCAGCCATTCCCACATGTCGTGGTGTCTGAGCAAGACACCCAATCCCTAATTGCTCCCTGAGTGCTTGCATAGCTGCCCACTGCTCCACCTGGATGCATCCCAGGTGTGATCGGTGAAATGCAGAGAAGTGATTGTCATCATTGTATGGGAACATACAATGATGACAATCTCAGACGTCCCTTTCTGCCAAAATGGAGGGATAGTTTAGCAATGCAAAGTCAGAAGTAACGGTAAGCTCACAGAACTGGCAGGAAAGTCACAACTAATCCTGAAGCTTCCTGAAGCTCAATTGTCCATGCACACATCAACCTGGATGGGGCGGTGGGTTTCGTGCTGCATGGTAGGTCTGCTGAACTGGAACCGAGCTGCTGGTCTGCAGAGCTGGTGAGTACCCATAAAAAATGTTGCAGTACTGTACAGTAGGGGCTGAACGACTACATTCATTCAACCTTTATTTATACAGGTAAATCCCATTGAGCCTCGAGGACTCATTTACAAGAGAGACCTGATTTCAACAAAGAAAGATGACAACAATGGACAACAATAACAACAATAAACAGTTATAAAAAGTCATACTGCAGGGTTTTTTTGTTGTTTTTTTACAAATAGGATGGCTAAAAGGAAAAGGTAACAACAAATAAAACGGCTAGATTCTAAGGCGAATGTAGAAAATTAAAAACAGGAACATGTCTGCATTGGTCCCTGCCAGGAGTCCAACAGATTCTTAAAGACACTTAGAGAGGTCAAGGCCGAGAGCTTCAAATATTTTTTGTAAGATGTTCCAGGAAACAGGAGCGGAGTAGGAGAAGGCCCGTTTGCCTAGTGCAGTCCTCACTGAGGGAACACTGCAGGTAATACTGTCCTGAGAGCGCACGCTGTAGCTGCACTCACGCAGAGACATGTAGGAGGAGATGTATGAAGGCAACAGACCAAGAAGTGATTTAAAGATGAAAATGTACCAGTGAGAGAGTCTGTGTGAAGTTAATGATGTCCAGTTAACCAGTGAATACTGGGTGCAGTGGTGGGTACGATAATCACAGCCAGTTATGAATCTTAGTGCACCATGATAGACAGCATCCAACATCTGCAGCATCCAACATCTGCAGGGTCCTTGTAGGAACGTTCATGTAAATAATGTCACTAATCAATGGAGGGAAGGAAAGTCACAGATACAAGGTGTTTTCTAGCATTCAGAGTTAGGCAGGATCTGTTTCTGAAAAAGAAACCCAGTTTAACTTTCAGTTTCTTTACCAAGTTTTCCACATGGAGCTTAAAAGAAAGATGTGAGTCGACCAAGATACCCAAATATTTATAGGAATCAACAAACTCAATGGGGACACCATTTGAGGATAAAATCGGAGGAAGAACTGCTGGGACCAACTTCCTATTTGAAAAAAGCATCCCTTTGGTTTTGTCGGCATTTAGGACAAGTTTGAGGCGGAACAAATCTGTCTGGATGTACAGGTCCTTCTCAAAAAATTAGCATATTGTGATAAAGGTCATTATTTTCCATAATGTAATGATAAAAATGAAACTTTCATAAATTTCAGATTCATTGCACACCAACTGAAATATTTCAGGTCTTTAATTGTTTTAATACTGATGATTATGGCATACAGCTCATGAAAACCCAAAATGCCTGTCCCAAAAAATTAGCATATTTCATCCCACCAATGAAAGACAAGTGTTTTTAATACAAAAAACGCCAACCTTCAAATAATCATGTTCAGTTATGCACTCAATACTTGGTCGGGAATTCTTTTGCATGAATGACTGCTTCAATGCGGCGTGGCATGGAGGCAATCAGCCTGTGGCACTGCTGAGGTGTTATGGAGGCCCAGGATGCTTCGATAGCGGCCTTAAGCTCATCCAGAGTGTTGGGTCTTGCGTCTCTCAACTTTCTCTTCACAATATCCCACAGGTTCTCTATGGGGTTCAGGTCAGGAGAGTTGGCAGGCCAATTGAGCACAGTAATACCATGGTCAGTAAACCATTTACCAGTGGTTTTGGCACTGTGAGTAGGTGCCAGGTCGTGCTGAAAAATGAAATCTTCATCTCCATAAAGATTTTCAGCAGATGGAAGCATGAAGTGCTCCAAAATCTCCTGATAGCTAGCTGCATTGACCCTGCCCTTGATAAAACACAGTGGACCAACACCAGCAGATGACCTGACACCCCAGTGACTGTGGAAACTTGACACTGGACCTCAAGCAATGTGAATTCTGTGTCTCCTCTCTTCCTCCAGACTCTGGGACCTTGATATCCAAAGGAAATGCAGAATTTACTGTAATCAGAGAACATAACTTTGGACCACTCAGCAGCAGTCCCAGGCGAGATGCTTCTGCCGCAGTCTCTTGTTCAAAAGTGGCTCGACCTGGGGAATGCGGCACCTGTAGCCCATTTCCTGCACACGCCTGTGCACGGTGGCTCTGGATGTTTCTACTCCAGACTCAGTCCACTGCTTCCGCAGGTCCCCCAAGGTCTGGAATCGGCCCTTCTTTACAATCCTCCTCAGGGTCCGGTCACCTCTTCTCGTTGTGCAGCGTTTTGTGCCACACTTTTCCCTTCCCACAAACTTCCCACTGAGGTGCCTTGATACAGCACTCTGGGAACAGCCTATTTGTTCAGCAATTTCTTTCTGTGTCTTACCCTCTTGCTTGAGGGTGTCAATGATGGCCTTCTGGACAGCAGTCAGGTCGGCAGTCTTACCCATGATTGCGGTTTTGAGTAATGAACAAGGCTGGGAGTTTTTAAAAGCCTCAGGAATCTTTTGCAGGTGTTTAAAGTTACGTCGTTGATTCAGATGTTTAGGTTAATAGCTTGTTTAGAGAACCTTTTCATGATATGATAATTTTTGGGACAGGCATTTTGGGTTTTCATGAGCTGTATGCCATAATCATCAGTATTAAAACAATTAAAGACCTGAAATATTTCAGTTGGTGTGCAAT